ATGGATGGATAGATAGGTGGATGGATGGATGGATGGATGGATGGATGGATGGATGGATGGATGGAAGGATGGATGGGTGGGTGGATGGGTGGGTGGATGGGTGAACTGTCCTTCAGTATCTTTCTCTGACTTGCTCTTTCTTTCCTGCCATCATTTCTTCCTTCTGCCTCCTTCCTTCTTCTCTCCCTCCCTCCACCTTCTCACATTCTCTGAGCCTCTATGGACTGAAAATAAATAAGCGGACGCCGTGCTCAAGGAGCTCCGCCAGGTCAGACCCGTAAATAAGCCTCTGAGATGCATCATGGGAAATGCTCTGGGAGGGCCCAGGGGAGGGTGCCACCAGCTCGGCCTGGGGGCGGGGAAGGCTTCCCAGAGGAAGAGACATTTGAGCTGGGCCTTGAAGGCTGAGTGGGAGTTCACTGGGCAGGGAGAGGGCACAGGAATTGCAGGCAGAGGCTGCTGCGTGGCTAAGGGTGGCAGGGGGTCGGCAAGTAGAGCCAGAGCCGGGGGTGGGGCAGTGCTGAGAGATGAGGCCAGACAGGTGGGCAGGGGCCAGATCAGAGCAAGCTTTTCCAAAGGCAAGTGTGCTTTATAAAGAGCCGTTGAAGAGTTTAAAGTGGTGGAATGGAGTGGTCAGATTGGCATTTTTCCAAAGATATCTCTGGCTGCCATGTGGAAAATGGGGGGGAGGGGGCCAGACTGGAGGCTGCCCTTCACTGTGGTCAGGGGAGGGATGGGGGTGGCTGGATGAGGCAGTGACAAAGGGCATCCAGAGGAGTAGAGGGACTTGAGGGGTATTTGGGGAATCACCAGGTCCCGGTGAGAGACTGAATGTGGGAGATGAGGAGAGGGCCACTCTAGTGTCTGGCTTAGGTGACTAAGGAAGGTAACAGGAGGAGCAGACTGCAGGGCACTGGGGGTTGGGGGGGCGGATACAGAATTCAGTTTGGGATGAACTTGGTTTGAGTTGTCTGGGGACTGAGATCACCAGGAGGCAGGGCGACACTGAGTTTAGGGGAAGTTCCAGCTAAAGGTAAAGACTGGGTGAGAGGCATACCAACCACCCCATGGACGGGTGGGAGCAGCAGGGATGCGCTGGGTCTGGGGCAGGGAGCGTCTGTACCTGCATGTCTGAGGACGTATTTCTGACACCCTCTTAGGAAGAAGCTGGACCTTGCTGTGGACTGCCTGAGCTCGGCTTCCATTCAGGCTCCTCTGCCCAGCCTCTGCGGGGCCTGAGCTTCTAGAGAGCAAGGTGAGGAATGTTCCCAGGGCAGGCTTGGCATCATCCAGGAGTGGGGCCACAATCCCCTTCTCTGGGCGAAGGACACCCCCATCAGGAGAGGAGCACTCCTAGTTTTCTGAGTCCTGAGCTCACTAGGGTTGTTTGGACTTGGACATGTCCTCCTCTTCCTGCCTGGAGGCCCGACTGCCATGAGGAAGCAGCCCCAGAACATTGGGCCATGCTCCAGCTTGGCCTGCACGCTCTAGCGACAGTGCTTTGTGGTCAGGGCCTGGGCAATAGCACCCTGGGCATCACCTAGCCCAGCTCACTCATCACACAGACAGGGACGCTGAGGCCTAGAGAAGGAGTATGCTTCCCCAGGGTCACCTAGCTAATAGATGATAGGACCAGGTCTTCAACTCAGTGACTTCTTCTGTGGCCTGGAGTTTTTCCGTTGTTCCGCATCTCTCCTTACCGTTGCTACTTCCCAAGCTCCCATCCCATGTGTGTCAAACACGCCCAGCCACTCAGAGTTCCATGGACTGTCCCATGGTTGGGGAGAAGGGAAGGGCTTTAGACACAGCTGAAAATGACCCAGGAGGCAGAAGGATTCAGAAAGTATTTATTTAGGGCCAGAGCTGAATTCTATAGGAGGCAAGAGACAGGACACAGGCAATCTCTAGTGGGTGAGAGGAGAGGACTGGGGGAGAAGGCAGTGAGGCGGGGGAACAGCCAGACAGAACTGCAGCTTTCCAAGGCTGCCTCCTGCTGGCCCTTTGTGGAAATGCAGGTAGACAGAGCTATTCTATGCCACTGCCTCAGCCAGTGGCCTAAGAGTGT